AAATGAACGTAGAGGAGATTGAGATTCTGATTTATTCAAACCCAGCCGCCGTTGGTTTATAGTTTGTAGTGTTGTTATATTACGGAGCTTTCGATTGCACGACGAGGTAGGACGTAGAACGTAATGACGTCACTAAAAGTCATCTGCGCATGCGAGAACGTTAAGGTCACCTCGTCGAGTAGATATCTGGAACGCAATTTGGCCAAATCTACGGATACAGAGAACGTAGGACGCCAGGTAGGACGGTCATGCATGAGTGACTCCGTTCTAGCGTTGCGTCGTCGCACAAATCAAAAGCTCCCTCTTTTGGCCTAAGCCCGCGATTTGGGATACAGTCTTGTCTGAAAGTCGATAAAGGACGATACACAACTCACTTCAACATCAAACAGACCAATGTTACAGTAACGTTTACTCTGTAAGGAATTAGGAGCTTGGATAGAACAGTAAAAAAAAAAGCAATTTATAGAGTAATGGAAGAAAAATCTAAGATAGCTACCATTTGTAGAAGCTTCACTTTGGCAATCATTCAGGTCGTCTTCATTATTTATCTCATTCAGTGCAACCAACTCAGGATTATTCTATATAACGAAATAATTTAACAACATTTGTACATTATTATTAATAAAAGAAAAGTGGAGCCAACAATAGAACTAGCGTCACTCGGAGTTTACTTAAAATATCATAATTGATTTGGATGAAAAGAAAACAATACTACATTTTGGAAATTGCTGATAATGATAATGGTTGCAGCAACGACAAATAAAAATAAGTAAATTTACCTCTTGATTACTTAGCAGGTAAACTTGAGCTTTCTGCAGCAAGTCCACAAAGAAGAGGATACTAAGGGCCTAGGATAAAGGTAAAAGAAATAATAATAATTTCTATTAATTGAATTCATTAACTAAACAATCCAATTATTACTGCAATAAAGTTTCTTCAAGTAAAAATATAAATCAATCATTTAATAATTCATTTTAAATGAAATCGAGCATTTAGTTTGCAAGTGTAGGGACTGGGGTCTATATTTTAAAAAGTTTATAGCTTACCCGCATCACATAATCAATAAGAAATGATGTAAGGAATGGGGTAAACCCAGACCGCCAAGTAGTATCCGGTAATCCTGTCACGGGAGTGAATTATAAAAAGTTAATGAATAAATGACATTAGGCATCACCACGTTGAACAACATTAAAACAATCTTCAACATTCTTACCATTTTCACCATTATGTATATACTGCAGAGGTGGTGCCAGTAGGGAGAGGGGGTGCCCCTCAGGGAGAAAACACACTCCGTAGGGGGGAAATAAAAAAAAAATTTAAATAAATTTTTTACATATCAGTAGACTCTAAAATTGTTTAAATTAGTCATTAAAATGCCTAAATTGTCACAATTTCCGGGGCTACGTTCCCTAAATCACTTCCGAGAGATTTCGAGCGACGTTCGGCACGCCCACTTACTTTCTCTTCGGGGATTCGGGCCCCGTCGGAGACATGGGACCCGTCGGGAAGATCCTGGCGCCACCCTTGATGTACTGTAGTAAAAATCCAAGTAGTATCCTCTTATTAAAATAGAAGACGTGTGGAATAATGAGCGACACAGATTGAGAGAGCTAAATTCACCCGAAACAAACACGTTTAGGCCTACTGAATCGAAAAACAATTAATTTAGTTCACGTTTGGTCACAGTCATCGACATCAACAATATTTCCGATATTATTATAACACATTTGACATTCGATTTGTTGTCGTTTTGATCTTGTGTGATTGGGCTTTCAGTTGTATTTTTTATAGTTAAATATTCATGATTACAAACCTAAAATTCCGGTTCCTAATATAGAGGCAATGGTAACAAAATCTGCAATGAACAAAAATACATGAGATAAAAATTTAAAACATACCCTTGACGTTTGACACCACAAGTTTGTTGGACTAACTTTTAAGACTAACATACTGATTTGCCAATCCAACCAATGTTATTGTTTTATATTTTCGTATATTGTGGAGCTAAAAAATTACGATATAAACTTTTCGTCAGAGTCAATTATATGCAATCGCTGGCCAGAAAAAGCATAATGTCGGCACATTTATGGCAAAAATTATTTTTCTTGCTGTAGATATTTTTTTCTTTCTATGACAAATGTCACCTTTATTCGAACATTCAATTCAACAGTTACAAAATCAAAAAGATATAAGATACGATAAGTTATTGCATTTAACTGGTTAGTACAGTACCAATTTGTATTTTTTAAACTCATTTGCTCAGTATACAATATTATCTCATTGGTATGTTTTTTTTTTCAAAAAAATACAACTAAAATATTAATCTTTAAGCAGTTTTTAATAATAAAATGATTGTTATTTTTTTTAAAACTAAATATCAACATTTCGTTTCTTTACTGATACTATTCAACATTATTATGTTACACTTTTTTTTCAATTAGCCTTGCTTTTCCAAGTACCGGGGTACTTAATTTTAACCCTTTTGGAAGCAAACATGGTTTTTAATATTTAAAATAATTCCTTCTTTAAAAACTTATTAACGACATTTCTTTTCTTTTCTATTATAATTTCCCATCAATTTTTTTGCACTTTCTTTTTTAACTTGTTATCTCTTTTCCTCACTGTAGATGATCATCTAGATTACTAAGCGGACAGTCATCCATTCATTCCACGCCTACAGAGATAGTTGACACAAATATTTTGTTTGTTCTAACTTCATTAATAACCATTTCTATATTTTTTTAAAATATTTTTTTTTCCATTTCTTTTAGTCTAGTGTTCATTTTTTATTTTAAATATTCTTTTTCAGTTATAATTATTTTAATAATCATGCTTATTTTAACATTCTGTCTTCCGATTATTTCGTCAAAACATTACCTCTAGTAGGTGACGTAACTGTGAATATTGAACAGTAAAGCAGAATGCTTTGATTTTAAAGTTCTTGTAAACCTAAAACATATTGGAATGCCTCACCATTTTGTACATGATCATTTATAACACTATCAGATCGTGAAGAATGTTTTTTGAGTCTAGTTATTAAGCATCTATCTGTCTTACCAATATAATCACTATTACAACCTGGACATTTAAAACGATAAACAATAGAACTTCTATCCACCTTAGGGCTTTGATCTTTAGTAGATATAAAATGAGAAAGATTCGTATACTATAGTTATGAATTTTACCTGTTTAAAAGTGTTTTACCTGTTTTTTCCGAGATAAGGCAATCTAAGCCAAATCTTTATCAAGCTATCATAGGTCTGTGTATACATTTAGGTTCATTTAATTGATTTAGTACATGGTTAGCAACTTGTAAAGGGTACCCAATCCAAGACATAAATGTTTTGATCTTTAGTTTATTTACGGACGGCTAAAGGTAATGTTTTGATTGGTTAATCACTTCTGGTACTTGAGCATATAAACTCGCAAATATGGATACTTTTTCATTACTGATGATGACATAATTAATGTCGAAATATTTAATCCCTACACGATGGCGTGCATTTCAATACCTGGAGTATGTTTTATTTCTATAAGGATGATTATGAATAATTCCTGAGATTTAACCAAAATTAGTACGTAAAAAAATGCGCACAGTATACTTCACTATCTGTAGCACCTCTCATAGAAAAATCCTGGTAGCACTTGACACTCTGTGTTCAGTGAAGCATTCGTTTCCTCTGACTGTGACTGAATGACCTAAAAAATTCTCTTAATGTTCCATTATATGTCAACTAAACCCCAAATTGTGATTCACTACTCTAGTTGTCTTTAAAGACAGGATTAAAACCTACTTGTTTGTTTAACCTTAAATTGAAAATTAATATTTATAACGTATGAAACGTTCCAACAATACTAAATGATAAATCCAGTAGTATTAATTGGCATATAGGCCTAGTTTGACAAACAAGTTGTACGTACAAGTCTTCCTAGCTTTACTCACAGATCTGCGTAGCAGACTCCTAATACCGATATAGGATAGTTAGAGGGCTAGATACAACAAACGTTACTTACAACATTGAACATATATCCATATACTCTTCCACGAATGAACATATTTCGTTGGTTTACGATTTTCCCGGTTGTCACTATTTTCGTTATCAGCCATTATTGGCCTCGATCATACTATACCGGTACTTGCTACTACCATCGATAGCTGAACTGTGGAGTACATGAAAAACGTCATAGCCGTCCTCGTGATAACGTACATGTGAAACATTTCTCCTTATCATCATATTATTACCTCCACCACCACCCCAACTCCACAAATCATCATTATCACCACCACCACAAACATCATCATCACCATCATCATCATCATCATCATCATCATCATCATCATCATCATCATCATCATCATCATCATCATCATCATCATCATCATCGTCATCACCATCTATATTAATCATTTATTTATCTATTTATTTATTTGTTTCTTTAATTATCTAATTGTTTGTTTATTTATCTATTTGTTTATTTATTTATTTATTTATCTATTTATTTATATATTTACCTATTATCTCTTTATTCATTTTTAAAATTTTTTATTTCTTTATTCATTCATTCATTCATTCATTTATTCATTCATTCATTTATTTATTTATTCATTTATAAAAATGTGTACCTCTTGGCATTTATTTTCCGCAGCATCGTTGTTTTTCAGTATATTTTGATATTTTACCTTATATATATATATATATATATATATTTATATATATTTTCGTTT